CATAGCTGTTCAATATAAATAACATTTTATTAAGTGACACAGAATATCATTGAAAATGTCACTATTTCAAGATTACGGCTTTTGATTTTTTTTTCATAATAAATGGGATATTCGTAGGGAAGATTAGGACAAGGAAACTGTACTTCATGCTGGGAAATGGGTTAATGATTATGAAAAATAAGCAGTTACTAAGTAAATGGATAAACCAGCAAACGGTAAAGATGATACAAATTTGCAAAGGATACAAGCTAATGGCATTAGGTTCTGCTGAAACCTGAAACCCCGGGGAGAAACAAAGGAAAGTGGAGCCTCCTTCTTCAGGACGCAGCCATTGCTGTGTGGCCTTGACTGTCTCCTCTCCACCATCATCGTGCACAGCGACCCAGCCTCCAACACCATCCCCTTGCGATGCTGTCATGTTCACTCAAGACCCTGAAGGATGGACGCGCCCCTATTCAAAAGGTAGTTGAGTGATCAGAGAGAGAGGAGCCTAGGACAAGGTGCCCTGGCTCTGCTTCAGACAAGGGTTGGTTGAGAAAAACACATCAGTTATTTGGAGAGATCATTTAATATAAAAAATAGAGAGCTATAAAGGGAAAAGGATCAAGGAGAGAATACCAATGAGACAGAAAGTGCAGGAAGCCACTTGGCGTTTAGGACTAGGGCACAAAAGGAGATGCTGGAGGTTATCAGAAAACTAGGAACTTCCAGAGTGCCCCGTAGAGCAGAGAGTCAGGCTCTTGAGAGACGGGCACTCTCTGGTAATTTCTGCTAGTGTGTAGGAATTCTGGAACCTGGAGCCCACTGCTATTGGAACAAATTGCCGCTTTAGCAGTGAGGGACTTTAGCATGAGCACTGTTGACGGGAAGAAATCCACAAGAAGAGGCCAATCTCCCCTCTCACTACCTGCTCTCCAGGAGCCCTGTCTGAGGCTCCACAGTGACACAGCCCAGCAGGAAGCAAACTGCAAAGTCTGAAATAGTATTTTCAGAATTCCTGTCTCAGCCTCACAGAACAGAATATTAGAAATGGGGGATCAAAGCTGAGAGACCTTAGCTCTGAAGACTTCTACTGACTTGAGAACGTCATTTATCCACATTTAAGATGCCAGTATGAGTCACTCGGCTATAGCTGGGTTCAAAGGGTGGAGGAAGCAGATGCTGGAGAAGCGCAACACAGCCTGCTGCACCAATGGAGAGTGCGTCCTGTACCTCAACTTAGAGCATCAGCATCAATCAGCTGATTTCCCCTGATAAACCATTGTCATTCAGTCATCCCACCTATCTAAGCCACATGCTGGTGGTTTATATTTTCCATTTAGACAACATTTGGGAATGAAATATTCTAGTCATTTATCAATGTTTTTGAAAATATAGCAGTTTATCAGGCTGTGTACTGTGAATGTAGAGATGGGGAAGGGGTGGAGTCCCTGCCCCTTTGGAGCTTATACAATAAGGAGCAGAGTTTTAAGCAATGATAATGCAACTTCCTGACAAGCTAGCATCGTGTGAATGGTCTGAATGAAGGGCTAAGTGAAGACAGGCAAATTAAAAGAATAACTTATGTGCATTTTTTTCTTTCTGGGTGAGCCCTTAACACTGGGGAATGTATTGTTTTTGGCTTTTTTTTGCATAAGTGTTTTGAATAGAATTACACTGATGAGAAAAATATTAACAAATGATAATTCTACCCTTCAGTCTTTTTCTTCATCTATTTTTTTCCCAATTATTCACTTGTGTTTATAATTATTTTTTCCAAGGGCCTATGGGTTATAGTTCCAAACCAAGTTATAAATTCTTTAAAGGTATGAAAAAAATTATATACTGAGTCATTAGATTTTACCAGCAGAGAAGATTCACACACAAAAATTAAATGCCTAAATTGACCAGGTAGGTGATGTAAATAAAGAAAGTTAATCAGGTATAAATAATAAAGAGTGAACTTTGACAAATAGGAACTTTTTTCTTATTATTTACCTGCTACACAAATCAAACACCTTCCAGATGAGGAAAAATTTTTAGCCTACCTGCTTGCTGTCCATAGATTATCACAGATTCTAGTACAAATTCTCATTTTATAGCTGAATAAACGGGCCTAGGGAGATTAATTGATTTCTTTTTCATAAAACAAATTAATAACATAGGTCAGGACAAACATTACCAACTCCCAGGGCAAGATCTCTGCACCATGTATTTCAAATGAATGGGTGTGACGGTGGCCTCCTCACCACCAACACTATTGGTATTTCACATTGCTGCTCTGCAATCCCTGATAAACATAAATGTATTTGCAAATGCAGCTTATTCTTTGTGTCTCCACCCCTAACCTAATAAATGCTTACTGCTGTGTACTGGATCCCATGAGACCCTTTGTATTTTCAGTTTTTTATTTTTTTGATAAGGAAAGTAACTTAAGCTTCTGTTTCCCATTTTAACTACTGAAATCTCTAACAATGACACAACTGTCATGTATACATGACAGCAAATGTATATAATAATTCATTCATTCATTCAGACCTCTTGGAATCCACACATTTAGCAATCTGAGATGATGGAAAATATAGCGTGATTCAACACTGGTTCTTTTTGTCATTTTACACAGACATCATGTTAATATTAGACCAAGGCACCAAACTTTTAGTGCATAAATCCAGTTTCTTTTAAGATTTAGCTTTTTATTTTAGTCTCTTATCTTAGTTTGGACCACTTGTACCCAGTACTCTACCTACTACAGACTATTTAACTTACGTAACAAAATCAAAAGAGGTTTCTGACCAGATTTATAGAGGACGTAACTGTTTATATTATCAAAGTGTTTGCATAACCAAAAGTACAATAATAAAGATGAAAATGCCTCCTTTTTTTCAGAAAATAGTACTTCATAAGCTTGCTGCATCTTTGATGTTTTTACTACTACTGCATGACAATGAATGTGTGATAGAAAAAAAGAAATCTATGCTTGAATTATGATAGCTCATCATCACAGTTTAATCTAAAAACGAAATTTCTACAGAAATAGGAACTATTTTAACAAAGAAAAGAAATCCCTCATCCAAACTTCTTTGTAGTGGTAACGGCTGCAAATTTGCAGCATTTAGAAAACTACACTATCAACAAGTGTTGCTTTATGAACTGAGATGTACAAAATCTGGAAAGCAGATGAAATTGAATTATTTCTTCAAAAATTTAGTAAAACTTCTGATAATTAGAATTCAAAAAAAAATACGGCACATAACAACGCAAGCATAAATCAAGATGGAGAGCACGGAGAGTTTGATTTTTTAAATTTTCCAAAATGCTATCATTGCAACATACAGGATTTCTCCCCTATTTTAACTTTCCTAGTTTCAAAGGAAAGAAAAAGGAGTGGCTTATATATAGACAGCACATGCACGAGTGCACACACACATACAGGGTGCCAGGGAGACTGCCTAATTCCTTCTTCCCACCACCCAAGTCTCACTTTACTTATTAAAACAAAACTGCAGGCCCGGTGCGGTGGCTCATGCCTGTAATCCCAGCATTTTGGGAGGCCGAGGCAGGCAGATCACAAGGTCAAGACATCAAGACCATCCTGGCCAACATGGTGAAACCCCGCCTCTACTAAAAATACAAAAATTAGCTGGGCTTGGTGGGACGTGCCTGTAGTTCCAGCTACTCGGGAGGCTGAGGCAAGAGAATCGCTTGAACCCAGGAGGTGGAGGCTGCAGTGAGCCGAGATCTCGCCATTGCGCTCCAGCCTGGGCGACAGAGCGAGACACCGTCTCAAAAAAAAAAAAAAGGAAGAAAGAAAGAAAACTGCAGAACTTCTCATTGGTTTTCCTTTATGTCATGATTTCTGTTACTTTAATTGCTGCTGCCGTCATTGTTATTTCTTGCATTTCAACATAACCAAATTCAAAAGCAGCTTCATTCTGGAACAGGTATCTAAACACCTGTGTAACAGCAGGGATACCTAGGTAATAATAACTGCCAATTCAGCGATCAAACTTTTGAGTTCCACAGTAAGATATTATGTGAGGCTCAGAATCATGTTTCAGACCATTGAAATTACTCATTAAAACACAAATAGCCGAAGACATGATGTAAAAGATTAAATACCTGGTTTTGTAACATATTTATCAGTTAAAGTCACAAAATATTCCTCATTATTATTCATGCAGGCAATAGAGAAAAAGATAGTGCAGCAATCAACTTTAAATAAAAAAAATTCCTCCCCTTCCTCCCACTCCCCTATACTCTACAAAATATTTTCCCTGGGACGAGCCCTCGAAAAGGCCACTACAAATTAGTGTGGCATGCACTACCGTCTGCAATTTAAAAAGCTAACTTTGTGGTGATTGTAGTTGCGTTATTAAAATATTCACGTGCAGAAATCTAAAAAAGGTTGAAAATCCACAGTAAATTTACAATATATTGTTTACATTTGACCACTGATTTCACAGATTTAGTAAAGCATTGTAACAGTTTAGGGAGGAATGTAAGTCTTTAAATTCTGGACAAATGTTATGTTTTAATCTACAAAATTGCATGAAGGCTAACTTGAGAGACTTCCTATCATTTTATAATTCCTCAAGCTGAAGAAATCATTTTTAGGACACTTTCTTATAAATATTCCCCTCTGAAAGCACTTACAATGCCATTTGTTCCACATATTATGATCTTACCTTACACAGGGCTGATCTCAATTACTCATGGAATATCAAACATGATAGGAAACACAAACCTGAGAGAAATGTTACAATACAACAGCAAACTTGCTCAATTCTTTTTTTTTTTTGAGACGGAGTCTCGCTCTGTGGCTCAGGCTGAAGCGAGTGGCGCCATCTCGGCTCACTGCAAGCTCCGCCCCCCGGGTTCCCGCCATTCTCCTGCCTCAGCCTCCGGAGTAGCTGGGACTACGGGCGCCGCCATCACGCCCGGCTACTTTTTTGTGTTTTTAGTGGAGACGGCGTTTCACCGTGTTCGCCCGGATGGTCTCCGTCTCCTGACCTCGTGATCCGCCCACCTCGGCCTCCCAAAGTGCTGGGATTACAACTGTGAGTCACCGCGCCCGGCTAAATTTGCTCAATTGTTGTTTATCAGCACTTTATGCAAAAAAGCTTCCTAAGCCTTTCTCCTCTTAATTTTAGCATTGAATTGTGGAAAATTTGCAGCTTTATCTTGACATGAAAATATTTCAATGTGTGGTGACCTTACCTGATGAGTTTTAGTGTTTTCTGCATAATTGTTACCGGAACTCTTACATGATTCTCTTCCATTCTGTTGTAAAGGCCAGGAAAAAGCAGCTAAATAAGAGGGAAAGAACTTACCACGAGAGCCGTGTCTGAAGGCTTTCAGAGTAGGTTGGCATTTCCCTCCTTCTGGTTGTCTCCATTTTCCTCTTCTAGCTCACAAAATGTAGGGATTTGCTGTTGTGAACAGTTGGTGTTTGTAGGATTTTTTTTCCTCTAGATTAAAGTCCTGTCTCTCCTTAGTGTATTTCTCTCTGCGGTATTTGACTTGCTCAGTTCCTGCCTGATTGCATCAGTGAGCTCTTGCTGCTGGAAGTTGTTTCCCAAAAAATTTTTAAAGTAAAAATGAAGAAAACATAAAAACCAACTTTATTAAAAATTTTAATAAGAATTTAAAGAGAGCAAACTCAAAAGTTTTATTTTTTATTTAATTTAATATTTTTAAATTTTACTTTAAGTTCTGGGATATATGTGCAGAACGTACAGGTTTGTTACATAGGAATATGTGTGCCATGGTGGTTTGCTGCACCTATTGACCCATCCTCTAAATTCCCTCCCCCTGCCCTCCCTCACCCCTCAACAGGCCCTGGTGTGTGGTGTTCCCCTCCCTGTATCCATGTGTTCTCATTGTTCAGCTCCCAATTATGAGTGAGATCACGCAGTGTTTGGTTTTCTGTTCCTGTGTTAGTTTGCTGAGGATAATGGCTTCCAGCGTCATCCATGTCACTGCAAAGGATGTGAGCGCATTCCTTTTTTATGGCTGCATAGTATTCCATTGTGTATTTGTACCACATTTTCTTTATCCAGTCTATCGTTGATGGGCATTTGGATTACTTACATGACTTTGCTATTTGATCTTTGACAAACCTGACAAAAACAAGTAATGGGGAAAGGATCTCCTATTCAATAAATGGTGCTGGGAAAACTGGTTAGCCATAGCAGAAAATTGAAACTGGACCCCTTCGTTACTTACACCTTATGCAAAAATTAACTCAAGATGGATTAAAGACTTACATGTATAACACAAAACCATAACAACCCTAGAAGAAAACCTAGGCAATACCATTCAGACATAGGTATGGGCAAAGACTTCATGACAAAATTGCCAAAAGCAATTGCTTAAAAGCCAAAATTGACAAATGGGATTTAATTAAACTAAAGAGCTTCTGCCCAGCAAAATAATCTATCATCAGAGTGAACAGGCAACCTACAGAATGGGAGAAAATTTTTGCAATCTACCCATCTGACGAAGGTCTGATATCCAGAATTTACAAGGAACTTAAACAAATTTACAAGAAAAAAACAAATAGCCCCACCAAATAGTGAGCAAATGATATGAACAGACACTTCCCAAAAGAAGACATTTATGTGACCAACAAACATACGAAAACAAGCTCAACATCACTGATTATTAGAGAAATGCAAATCAAAACCACAATGAGATACCATCTCACTCCAGATAGAATGGCGATTATTAAAAAGTCAAGAAACAATAGATGCTGGCAAGGCTATGGAGAAGTAGGAACACTTTTACATTGTTGATGGGAATGTACATTAGTTTAACCAGTGTGGAAGACAGGATGGCACTTCTTCAAGGATGTAGAACTAGAAATACCATTTGACCCATCAATCCCATTACTGGGTATATACCCAAAGGGATATAAATCATTCTACTATAAAGACGTATGTACACGTATGTTTACTGTGGTTTTAAATACACATAAACACACACACACAGACACACACACACACAGAAAAACATAGTCAACCCTTCATATCCATGGGTTCCACATAACAGAGTCAACCAGATACAGATATTTGAGAGAAAAAAATAATAGCAATAGAAAATCATACAAATAAAAAATACAATATACAGCTATTTACATAGCACTTACTCTGTATTAGGCATTATAAGTAATCTAGAATGTTTTAAAGTATACGGAAGGATGTGCATAGGTTACATGCAAATACTGCACCATTTTACCTGAGGGACTTGAGCATCTATAAATGCTGGTATCTGAAGGGATCCTGCAACCAATCCCCCATGGATACGGAAGAGCAATTCTACACGTGTATATGTGTCCCCATTGATGAATAATGCGTTGTAATTTCTAAGAAGAAAAAAGAGCAAAATATTTGACATAGAAAAAATAAGAACACTAAGATTTTACAGCTTATCTTAGACTTATAAAGTGACCTAAAGGACCCAAACAATAATTTTAAGACAGAAAAGATTTCACTCCAATGGAAAAAAAAAAAAGTGAATTTTCTTTGTATCCTGAGAAAAAATAAAAATTATGAAATATTAATTCTTACAAAGTGGAGGTGATATTCATAAAAGAAACAACCCTAAAATGAGGCCGAATGGGTTCTAATAGTATACCAAGGGTTAAAAATTATACTTTGTTCTTAAGATTAATGTATATAATTAGTTAACATACTTTCATTACAAAAATGAAAACAAGCTTCTGCCAAAAGCAAACTGATGTTAAGAGGTATATACAGTTTCAATCAATAACAAAGCTTCCAGGTATTAGGTAGAAAAGTCCTGCTAGTAATTTATTCTTGCAGTATTTCATTTTCTGCCTTCAGGTGGGACCTGAAAGAAGACAAATATGGATGCCATTTAAAAGATACTGGTTCTGAAGGAGGAAAAAAAAATAGTGCAAATTGATCTCACCCTGCAGGAAATCTAAGATCATGCAGAATACTTTAGGGCAATGGTTTTGCATAATTCATCACTAGTGTGAGTATGAACTGGAATACAAACAAAAATTCAGAACACTTTATAATAATACTATATGGGATTCTATCATAATTTGATTTCCATGCATACAGGGTAGATTATTCGGTCAGATAGTCTGTTTTTAAAAATCAACAGTTTCTTAAAAATGAAAACCTTAGAACTCATTTTCAGATGTGTATTAAAATATTTGTGCCCTGTATGTTTGGAGATCTGTTACTGAAGTAGATAACTAGCAGCCTCTTCTATCAGTAATATACAAAGTCTAATGGTTAATTTCATGCCCAAAGTTTCCATCAGTGCAGATCTGTAATACATAATGAAATGGACAAACATTTGCTTAATTAGGTATCAGATCTTTTAGATGTTTTGTTCTGTTGTATTTGTAAGAGACATTTTCAAGTCCTTTTGAGGCAATGCTGTTCAAATGACAATCCATTTAGATAATTTTAAAATTGACATTGAAACCTTTTTTCAGCAAAAGTTCTGATATTTGTTAAATATGCTAGTTCTTATTGTTAAAGACAATGCTATCATATTATATTTATATATATACATTCATATTGTAGATACACATTAATGTGTGGTACATTCAAAAAATATTTGAGGTAACTTATGTTAAAAGACAGATGTTCTGTAACAGAATGTTTTAAAAAGTTAAATTTTACTTGAGAGAATTTTAAGTAAATAAAAATGACCAAAAATTACATAATTAGCCCCACTGCTTTCAAAATCCCATTAAAATGCCAGTAAGCATATTTTAAAGGCACAGATTCACAAAGGCAAAAAGTCCAAGAAAGGAGACAACAATGACAGAATTCTGGAAGCTGTGAGAGATGAATGTGCGATAATCGACTTAGTCCATCTGTACATAAACATGCTCTTGGAAATTAAAATCATAGTAAAATAAATATAACAACTCAATCGAATAATTAAAAGATACAGTTAACAAACTCTCCCAGAATGAGAAAGACAAATAAATAAAAGCCAGAGAAAGAACACAAGAATTACAGAACAAAGCCAGTGGGTTAGTATCTAAATGAAAAGTTTTAGAATGAAGAAAGTAGAAAAAATAATAAAAGAATCAAAGAAATAATAAAGACAATTTTCTAGAATGGAAAGAGTTTCTACATTTAAGACCCCAACATCATCATATATAGAGTAAAATAAATGAGAATAGGCTTAGCCAAGTTATATCTTTGAAAAATGTGTAAACACTGAACATTAAAAGAATATATAAATTACTAAAGGGAAAAGTTTGCTTTTAAAGAATTAGTTTAATTTTAGTCATCTCTCCAGAAATAGGAAAGCTAAAACACTAGAAGGGTTTTAGAACAAAGTTTTAAAAATTCCTTGAAAACAGAAAGTATTTTGATGATTTCTTTTGTAAAGAAAAAGTTAATATAATATCTGATATGATACAGATTTGGATGTTGGGAGAAGGTGTGACTTTGAATTTGTCATAAATACACAGAAAATTAAGCAAACAAAGAAGAAGATAGTAACTATTACCAGGGACAATTTTTAAACAGGTGTGCAGCCAATAAAAAGCAGGCAGAGAATACCACACGACTCAGCTGTGACGAGCATTTATACTGTCCCAGTAATGTAAAGACCGAAGATTGATGTAAAACCACAATGTTGTTATTATATTGGTAGGATGGGGAGACGGGAAGGGTGCCTGTGCATGATGACAGGCGGGAAGGAGGTAAATGATGTTTAATTCCTCATCTTTTAATACTAACTGTATTACGTTAAAGTAAAGAGTACTAACTGATTATGTTAAAAACTGAAAAGTTAAGAAATAGCAACAGAATCATCTTATTTAGGGATGTAGAATTAAAATACAGCAGAATCACCTCAAGTATTTGACATAGTTCTGCACAAGAATAAGTTGGTTCAGCCACTCAGCGTGGTGCTCTGTACTTTTAGAGAATTTTGTGTATTGCGTAGTAACTTTACTGATCATTCCTGAGGTTTTCCAATTTTCAACATAATGAGCCTATATTCTTTATAGTTGGTTGGTTGTATTTTGGGATATATGCTGGTTTTCCTCCTCAGG